TATAGAACAAAAATTTGATGAAAAAATATATATACAATGCATCTCAATTTTTAAAACAAAAAAAAACAAATAAAAAGTTTAATCCATATAAATAAACTTACATTCAATTCTTGCATCATATGATTATCCCTAACACGTTCCATCCCTTTTTTAATGTTTTGTTGTAAATGGTAGCCTCTCGATTTGTTTAGCTTCTCTAGGGCATTATCCATCATCGTGTGTTGTGTAATACTAGATAATTTCACGATATACTCCATGATAATTCCAAGGAATTTTGTAAATCCTATACAATTTCCACTTTTATATACAAAGTGGTTTCTGTAAACATCTTTAATATTTTTGCAACGTTTACATCTGTCCATCTTTGTAGATCTATAAAATAAATATATAAAAAGTAGTATAAATAAACGAAAAAATTAAAATATAAAAAAAATTACCTTAACAGACGTAAACGATACACACAATGAAAATATGATGTCTAAAACGACAACAGCGGTGGCAGCGGCGATGGTTACGGTGGTGGCAGCGGCGGTGGCGACGATGGTGGCAAAGGCGAAGCAGGGACAAGAGGAAAACAGAAACGAACACAAAGACGAAGACAAAGGACGACAAATACTAATAGATTTAAAAATTTTGGTGACAATTAATAGTATAAAAAATATCATTCTAAAATTATAAAATAAACAAAAAACCGAAATTGAAACAGTCAGTCATCCATTGTGCCATACTTACCGGCTACGCACAGGTTTATAGGGTGTCCTGTGAGACATTTAGTTATGTTTTCAGTGATATGAAAACTAAAATACTGGCAACTGCGTGGTGATGTTAAACTGCAAAGGAAAGCAAAACACCCTAGAAACTGCTTGCAAATTAATTTAGTCGCATATTTAGGTACCGTGAATATAAGTACATTTGCAATCAACCTCGGATCTATTGAATTCAGAAAAGCAAATGCTGCGAAATATAGCCTGTCTTTATATTTTAAATTAGTATTAAAAAATTTAGCCCTTACGGCATTCGGCAGAGGCCCGACGTATATAAACCGACTCCAAATAGAAAATATCTCCGGGTTCGTCAATATATGTGGTAAAATCACAGCCGTCGAAGAAACAGTCGGTAGACGAGACGTCGTGGCATACGTCACAGGTCGGTACAAACTTTGGAGTTGCATCGGCGTCGTAGCAACCATAGACGTCGCGGGAACCATCGGTGTTTGCCTCGTCGTCGAAGCAACCATTGACGTCGCGGGAACCATTGGTGATTGCCTCGTCGTCGAAGCAACCATAGACGTCGCGGGAACTAAAATTAAAAATAAATTAATAAATACGAAGATTAACAATCATAAATAATATTCAAAAGGAAAGACTTGTATTTCGTGCAAAACTTTTTAATTAATAAATGCAAAGCGCTTTCGGCTTATTTGCCATCATCAGTGCTTATCTACAAAAATTGTGGATGTAAACTTACAATTTAAAAAATATATTATAAAATCTGAATAAGACTTTTAAGTCAAAAGTTAAAATTGTATATATAAGATTGTTTGAACAAATTAACAATTACAAGAAACAAACAAAGTGACAAAAAACTGGTATTGGGAATAGTGAGTGTGGGATAAGCCCTTACGAATCAAATCTGATCTGATCTCCAGAAGCAAGTTAGCTTGTGTGGAATTAAGGAATTATGCCACCTTCACTATTCACAAAATTGAAAACAAGTTAACAAATTAGTTAAAATTTAAAGGAATTTACAAATAAAGGGTGACTGTGGAAGATATATTGAAATTTGAATCTAAAATACAATATTTAATATGAAGAAAGTTAAACGCAGAAGGCCAAAGTAAAAAAAACTGAAGGTTTTTTTTATATATATTTTATATACATTATAATTATAAAAAAGTCCACAACGTATCCAACAAGTTCCTGGTCATCCTCACTCCCAAAATTAGATATTTCGGGATATTTACATTTTGCTAAATCATAATCTTAGTATTATTAGTATTTTCAAATTTAAATTTATCTATTCATTTTTATTCAAGTTGTTTAACCGTTTCCACATGACAGTGGTGACAAGCGACACTTGAAGACGTTGACTTGTCAAATGTCAAGAGAAGGAGGTGCGTTCACCTCAGTGTGGAACATGTTTCTCCGAGTGTGATTCGAGTGATTGGAGGTGGTTAACGGAAATCAAAATTTGTTAATATTGAATTTAAAGATTTGATTTATTGTTAGTTAAATTTAAATAAATGTTTAATATAAATGATATTATTATTTTGATGTCAAGACAAAACAAAAATGTCACTCGCGTGATTCTGATGTGCCAGCCCGGGCTCTGCAGAACATTCTTTCAGAGAACCCAAAATGGCACAACTGAACCCGCGGTCCCTAAAGGTGAATCTGATGTTTAGTCCTAAAAATTACTAAATCACTCATCAAGCGTACTCATGGTTGAAAGAGACAAAATAATAGAGAATAAAAAAGTTTTAAACAAAGGAGTACCATGGTCCCAAAGGTAGGCTCTGATGGGTGAAATCGAGTTTAGGAGGGGATGGCTCTCAAAAGCTTGTATTGGATGACTCCATAGACAACTCAATTAACCCTCTATGATGATGTAGGTCCGAGTAAATTTCTTTAAATTTTAACTAATTTGTTAACTTGTTTTCAATTTTGTGAATAGTGAAGGTGGCATAATTCCTTAATTCCACACAAGCTAACTTGCTTCTGGAGATCAGATCAGATTCGATTCGTAACGGCTTATCCCACACTCACTATTCCCAATACCAGTTTTTTGTCACTTTATTTGTTTCTTGTAATTGTTAATTTGTTCAAACAATCTTATATATACAATTTAAACTTTTGACTTAAAAGTCTTATTCAGATTTTATAATATATTTTTTAAATTGTAAGTTTACATCCACAATTTTTGTAGATAAGCACTGATGATGGCAAATAAGCCGAAAGCCCTTTGCATTTATTAATTAAAAAGTTTTGCACGAAATACAAGTCTTTCCTTTTGAATCTAAACTACGTGCACACAGCTGTCAACCTTTTTTGGTTATTTTAATCATAAATAATATGTGTTATGATTTGACTAACATTCATAAGTATCTGGTTCAGATGTTAAGTGCGGATTACCATATCTATCTACGTACCTGCTGACCGCAAATCACTCATCCTCATTTGCAATCAAAAGTAACTTGGAATATTACTAATCATAGGCGTCACAGATACATCTAGAAATGAATCATCTTAATACTAGGTACTTCAAATGGAAGCTCCGTCCACAATTGGGCTTTTAGCCAATAATATTACTTAACGATGAGTATAATTAGTACTTAAGGAAATAACCGGGTCAATTAATTTTCTTATTCTTCAATTATAAATTAAATAGTAATCAAATAAAATAATAATTCAATGTATAATATTACGGGGAGCGTATAATATAGTTTCTAACTGAAAGCGAAATAAAAATATTCCTTATCAATAATTATTAAAATGTAAATTACTAAAACAAAATCAGTTCTTTTCAGAACTACAACATATTTATTATTACTTTGTAAATCGGTTAATAAATCTAATTCTATGTAGGAAATTAGGTATTTTCAATATTCAATAAAGCTTTAAAGTGTTATTGATTGACACTTACCTGGTTTAAAAACAATGTTTTGAAGAATATTGATAGGGGTTGAAGTATCAGCTGCCTGCGAATCGCAATGCGAAATACCTATCAAGGTAGGTGATTCATGATCTAAATGCATGGATTTTTTTCTTTGGCTGTAATTGTGATCGTTCAGACCACCTGAGGAAGATTCTTTTAATTCAGGAAACATGGTAGGCATTGCGTTAGGTAGAAGACGGGTTCTATAGTTGTTTACTACTATATATATATTTCGTTTCAAAATGCTTCTCGCATAAACGATATTTTTTTAAAAGATCTAGTGGCAACTGCTTAAGATCTTCGCGTCCTGCCGCGACAGCCCACAATCTTGACCTATAAAAACTATAAATTAAGTTAATTTAAACAAATTTTTAGAATTATTATTTAATCAATGTTTTTTTATTGGTACCCTATTTCGCTTATTTAAAGTACAATTCAGCGTGTTTAAATTCAACGTTAAAAAACGGGCGTTTTAAAACTCAACGTTACAAAACGCGCGTTTTAAAGTTACCATAGCAACATCCACAAACTGAGAAACGTGAAGTCTAAATGTCCATTTTTTTAATTATTGAACTGACAAGTATTTTTTATAATCAAATAAAATATTACTAACAAATATTTTAAAAGGTTTATTCAAATATTTAACAATGTTAAGTTCTTAAATGAATGTGGTACATCCATTTTTATATTATTAACCGCAATTCTGCTTTACTATTTATGTTAAAACTTAATATTAAGCAATATACAAACACTAACAACTGTGATGACAATTTTATGTGACAGATTGCAAATTAATTTTTGATTTCCATCGCAACGAAAAATATACTGATATTACATCAGGAATTCAACAATTTTACATTAGTTCCTATTTCAATTTTTTAGTAATAATACCATATAATTTTAAGGCGTACAAAAAATAATGTAAAATATTCTTGGAAAACAAGACCTTATTATAATAATATAATATTAATCTCTCTAAATAACCACCTTGAATTTTAACCCCAAAAGCTAGGTTTGTCCAGGAAAAGGAATGGCTATTATTATTTGCTGTGTCCACGTATACTTTAATATACTATATTCACAATTAATGCAATTCAAAATGATGAGAGCAATAGAAATAATACTCAACAAGTACCTATTTATGAACATATTTTAGCTAATATTACAAGTGACGCCAGGAAAGCTAGCGCAGATTTTTTGTTATTACGAAACTGAATAAACAGAAATTAACAATTAGCTAAAAATGATAGCAAATAAAACATTAAAAAAATGAATTTCTAGCTTGTTGTGCGTAGTTATGTTTTTTAACGCAAAATATTTATGAACAAATAAAGAAAAAATAAACAAATCGTTCTGGATAAAAATATACGTTAAACAGCACTTAACTATTTATATTATATGGAAAACTAAAAAAAACTGCATTTACAATTTCTATAATTGTTTCTACATTTTTTTGCAGCACACGAACCACCACCTTTTTTTGCAACGAATCCATTATAATTGTTTATAAAAATCTTCAAGCGAAATACCGAAACACAAACACACAAAATCTAAGAATCTGGGAAACGAAGTAACCGGCAACACAAGTTGAACTAAAGGTTGACACCGTCGCAAAGTAAACATATTATCATGGCGAATAGGGTTGCGCGACAAAGATGCGCGTACTTATGATTATTTACCAAGTGTTCCTTCCGGGTATTCAGTGTAGGTACCTACCTACCTAATTAAATTCGTCCCTTACAGGAACTCGAGTAGTGGATTGTCTCAAGCTTCAACTGCTTGTCGGGAATTCTAGGAACGGACTATGGTTAAAGTTGTGTTTGACGGGAATTCGAGTGTCCTCGGAAAACTTTACGATTTACATAACTATCTTGCTGATCTTCTGGAACTTTAACTTTTATATGGCAACAGGGTTGCCAGACTGGTCGTATCAATTTCCCCCCCCCAAATTGACATTAAAAATCCCCCAAAATCGCAACTTAATGATAAAAAATCCCCCAAAAAAATTTAAAAGTACACAATTTAAAACACAAATATTTACTTAAACCAAAAGTTTATAAAAAATGGTTGTTCGTTATGACGAAATTTTTAAAAACCCCATATATTAATAATTTAATAAAAAAAATTAAAAAAAAAAAAAAACTTAATTAAATGTTGAAACAACAATATTTATATTTACCGTAAAAAAAACAAAAATTTGTATTCTTATTCTTAATAATAAAAATAAATCTTAATACCAAACAATAAAACTGAACATAGGAGTACATTATTCTATAAACATATCCAATACAGATCCGTCGTCCAAAGAGGACTGGTACATGCTTGAATTAAATTTTTTTAACATATTGTTAGTTGGTCTAAAATTTGCACAGCCCTATTCCTGGAGATAAAAACGTACCCTCATTATAGCATCTGTACTGGAAATGGCCAAACGATTCCGAATTTTGTTTTTTACTATATTAGCAATTGAAAATGCTCTTTCCACAGTGGCATTAGAAAATGAAAGTGAAAGAAGTGATGTTGCTAATTTGGCTATGTGCGAAAACCGAGCTTCGCCAAGAGCATTTTTATTTCGGGCAACCTCTAGCCAGTAAGATTCAGGTTGTTCCGTATTCTGCCATTCACTTCGATGGAGAGTGTTCCATTCGCTAATTGTAGCATCAACATCTTCACATATACTTCTAAAGCTGGTAGCAAGTGATGTTATATTTGGTCTTTTAATTTGTGCTGTGGCATTTTCAGGTGTCAGAAAACTTATTTTTTGTAAAATATCAATGTTCGAAGGTAAAAGATACTGAATTTGATTACATAATTCCATCAAAAACTCTTTACACCTTTCTCGGACTAGAGTTAGATCAGCTTTAACAATGTCTTTCGATGCTTCATTAAATGAAAATCCAAAATTAATTAATTCTGCACTCATCACATACTCCTTGAAATTTAAAGAAATCAAATTACTGTCAGGAATTTTTTCAAGGCGCATGGGAGGTACTAAAATACTTAGATAATTCTTTAGAAGATGGATTAGATCTTCCATTAATTTCAAAGAATTTGCATTTTCACTTTGAAAAGCCAAGTTGACAGTGATTTAAGTCCTTTAGCACATTGTCAAGGAAAACTAGATATAAAAAATTTCTTCTGTCTGACAACATTTCAAACAGTTGTTGAGCTACGTAACATCGTTCATTATCTTTGGTAATTTCAAAATGTAGTTTTAGAACATCCCACTGATTTAGAATTTTTTTTATAGCATTGGATCGTGCCAACCATCTTGTTCCACTTAATTTATCAATTTTTAGAGGCGATTTTTCATTCATTGTTTCAAACAGTTTTTATATGCGGTTTGACGTTTGGAACTACAACTAAATCAGTTATGGGATTCTTTAATTAGGAAATCCAAATGTTTGGGGAGTTTCACAAAAGAGTGTTCGGCTGCTAGATGCAGTGAACGCACTTAACAATTATTAAATCTTGGGAAGTCATAGTTATTAATATAGTTGAAACGGAATGATGTTGTCCAACCATGGCATTACAACCATCAACTCCTATTCCTATTAAATTTTCAACTGGCAAATGATCTTTTCTTAATTGATTTCGTAGTGCCTCTGATAAAGCTCAAAGCATCTCCAGCCTCAATTTCGATTAACCCATAAAAAGTTGTTACTATTTTCTGCTGTGATATACTTAAATATTTAATAATCAGACACATCATTTTTGAACTATCCACAGCAGTACTCTCGTCAATAATTAAGGAATATTTCTAAGTCCCAATGTCCAAAATAAGGTCTTCTAATAAACACGGTGCAATAACATTCACTATTAAGGCAGTACATTTGGTCCTGTGAATCTTCACTCCACTAAGCAGTTCAGAATTTGTATCCAAATTATTAATTAATTCACTTAATGATATGCTGTTCTTGTTGCGCACAGTGTTCTGCGATAAATGCAGCAATTTTTAATTCAGCAACTTTTCTTTTTACGGAAATGTCTTTTTTCACGAAATCTGTGATTTTTTTGCTTGGGCCAGCATTTAATCGTTTTTCAGACTCCTTATGTTTTTTTGATCTACTGTGCAACAATAAATCTTTTTTATGGGCAATCAGTGCACATTTACAAAATGTACAGAAAGCTTTTGTTTCATCGTTTGAATTTGGAGAAATCCACCCTATTGCAAATAGCCACTGTTATAATATTATATACTTATAATAATTTAGAACTATCTACCTACCTTTTAATTCAGAATCCTGCTCCCAAGCGCTTCTATATTTACGAGGATGGGATGACATAATATTTATTATGTAACTTCAACAAACATAAAAAACGTTCATACACAAGCTGAATAAAATTAATAACAAATTACTGTCACTTTAAGGTACTAAACTGTAGCGTTTACAGCTGGGATTCACGGAGAGCGCTCTAACACTGAAATCAATAATCCCAACAAAACTCGTTACGGACGAGGTCAATGACATATGTCGGGGTACGGGTCAACTGCATTAGTAAAATTGGTTTGAGATTGTGTAAATTTTTAGAATTATGAATTATTTCAGATTAGAATTTGACGATTTTTCCATAAAACACAATTACCCGTGTTTCATCCGGGTGCCAAATAAAATACCCCACAAAATACCCCAGAAAAAAGTTCCCCCCAAAATTTCCCCCGAACTGATTAAAATCCCCCAAATTTGGGGGAAAAGCCCTCCATATGGCAACCCTGTATGGCAACCATCAATTGCACCAATTATATCTAAAAAAGAACCAAATATATTAGAAACAGTTGGTATAACAATAAAAATCAAACATTGCTGTCAAAATTAAAAGTAATTCTGAAAGAACTTACTTGGATATTTACTCTTCTCATTGGTAATTCTTAGACACTCATTTTCCTTTGGCCAACAAATATATCTTTCACACACCTTCTCCAGAATAGCCAACATACTTGTAAAAACTTGGAACACTGTGACCAACATCACTTAATAAATTTTCATATGTATCTCGTGTCATGCGAAAATGCATATATAAGTCAGTGTCTAAGTAATTCGTTAGGCCCCTTTCGCTAAAGAGAAGTATTCTAAAATAGTCTTCTCGAAAGAAACTACTAGCTAACAACAAGGTCAGAGCAGTATTCCCACTACTCAAAACAACTGGTAATAAGTTCATTTCATTACTGGGAAACATAAAATCATCCATTACACTAGTTACTATAGCCATTAACTTTCTTTTTTTTTCTGGAAGGCTCCATAACCACTCAACATGTAATAATAAAAAAATGTTATTAATAAACGAATTTTATAATACTAAGATTTTAACATTCTAAAGCTTCGATTGTAAAATTAATACAGTAAAACGGCGTACCTATTCCAACAAATTTATGAAAACTAAAAGTAACTTAACAAATATCAAACGTAAATTTAAATAATAATTAGGAAAAATAAAATACTGTAATGGTTCACTTGATCTTAAAAAACACACAGTTTTCCAGTATTACACTTCTATTACTATACTAAATATATATAAAAGATATTGTTACAAAATAATTAGTAAAGTTACAAAAGAAAGAATTGGATTAAGTTTGAATAAAATCGAATAATGGAATGAATCATTTGAGACCTAAACGCAAGAATTTATATCTTATTACTAGATTAAATGTAATTATAGTAAATATCTAATTGTAAATATCTAATGCAGTGGCGGCTCGCGGCTTTAAAAAATGGTGAAGAGCTACTTAACCAAATAGAACTAAAACACTTTCAACATTTATTTATATTATTTACCTAGTTTTTGTACACCAACTCGATTCTTCCGTCTTTTAGGAATGCAAACCTATCAATAATATCGTCATAAAAAGATTGTCGCCGCATAAGATTCAACAAAAGTTCTTTATGAAGTGAGATAACAGTCAAACTGGAAAGTATATCTTGCGAAATAGTATTTGTTGTAAAAGTTTTTAACCTTTTTAAACATGAAAAACTTCTCTCCGCCGATATGCTCGTCGATGGAATTGTAAGAATCAGACAAAATAAGATATATGCTTCCGTAAAAATGTCTTTATGACCTTGTAATTTTACAATCAGTTCTTGCAATTTTATATTTTCATAATTCTCTTCGCTATATAACAGAGAAAGCTCATTTTTAAGTCTTTGATGTTTTTTTAAATTTTGTGCCATAAAACTTAAGTAAATTTTAAAAAGCGTCTGAGGGAAAAGACAAACTGTACGCATCGAACTTTGTTGTATCAGCTAGACATACAAATTTTAATTTATCACAATCCAGAAATCGTATTTGCATTTCCATTAAAATGTGGTCTATTATTTGAAAAAACAGTGCTCTATATTGGGTAATAATGGCATCGCTCCTCAGACCAGCGTCACACCTTTTTCATGTATTAATTTCAGTCAGTATGCTTGCTTTGTCAAAGATTGAATTAAAACATTTTTCATTTCTTTTATCGCTCAACAATTGACGAGTCTTTTTAATCTGGATTATACAAAAATTAATATCTTGGCTTTTTTTTGAAGAACATCATATAACATATCAGTTAAATCAAATTGATCACTGAAAACTATTGTCAAAAACGTAAACTCGAAATCGTTCATATTCCTTAAAAAGCCTCTAGCCAGCTGAACTGAATTGCGATATGATTCTTCAGACGTTACTATATTTTCAAAAACTTTTAATTTTTTCCAGTCTTGAACAATTGCACTAATTAATTTGGAATTAGACGACCATCGCGTTTCCGTAATTGTTGGCATATGGCTTGCCGATGTAGGAGCGCAAGATCGCTTTGCTGATCTGTGAAAAAATGATGGAATCACAGTAATACTTGCAAAAAAAAATTCGACATTTGGATATTTTTTTAAAACTTTGTTGTAAAACTAAATTAAGCCTATGGGCTAGGCAATGCACAAACACTGCTTGTCGAGCGTGCTCTTTAATTTTTTGATGAAGTCTGTTTAAATGCCCAGACATAACACTGGCCCCACCCTAGCACTACCCTACTAAGTTAAGTTGGTATTCAAAAGGATCCAAAACTGTAGCTGTCATAGTGAATAAATGATCTGCTGTTCTACCGGCACTTACATCATAAAATTCTAGAAAACGTTCTACTAATAACCCCTGAGAATTTACGTATCTTATTATTGTTGAAGACTGGGACGTCTGGGTTATATCTGTGGTGTCATCAATTTGAAGGGAAAAGAACGCACTATTTTTTATTTCATTTTTAATATGGTCATTTACATAACCAGAAATGCATTCTATTAATTCATTCTGAATCGTTTTTGAATCCTTACTAAAAACATTCTTAATTTTTTTCATAATGATTTTTGGTTTCCAAAGGGCTCCTTTCAATTAACAAATTTAATAATTCCTTAAAATTACCTTTGTTTACGGAGTTAGTCTTCTCATCATGTCCACGAAAAGGCAACTCTTGCTTGCTTAGAAATAAGACTGCATCAATAACTGTACGTAAGCAAATTCTAGTCAATCGAACTTTTTTATTAAAATGGAGTTTATACAGTCTAGCGTTATCTTCTAAAGCATCGGCGATAGTATTTTGTATATATATTATATTAATAAAGTGTTTAAGATAGTCAACTAAGGTAGCATGACTACGCTCAAGAGCACCGTTTGATTAAGGGTGATAAGCAGTGCGGTTTATTTGAATAATTTTAAAAAGTTTTGAAATTTCTTTTAAAATATAAGAAGTAAAATCGTGACCTTGATCAGTTAATATTGATTGAAGTATCCCGAAAATATAAATAAACTTTTCTACAAGGCTTTAGAAAATTTAGTTAAATCATCCTGTAAAGTTAAAATAACTTTACTACCATTTTCGGACGGAGTCGAACTTGTAGTGATGATTTCCATTGGTTCTTTATGTTTTTTACGAACTAACTTGTTTTTTTGACAAGACTCACAATATTTAATAAAGTTTTTGATATCATGTTTCATTTTATGCCATTTATAATATTGTTTAATTCTACTGTAAGTTCTATGACTAGCGATGGGACTAGAGTGGCATTTTCTGTTAGTATTTCTTGGATTTGTTTAGGGTTTGAATCTATTAAAATATTATGTTATATGGTAATTTTAATATTAGTATCTTTAAAAATAAATCTTAACATTATTCGGATTTTGTACCAATTTAATTTATCATATTGTATACCGATTACAGGTATATTAATTATTTTAATAGTAATTATTTTATATATAACTTATAGTATTATTTTATCTGGTAACCTAATTAATTTAATATTGCCAATACCTAAGTTGATCGATACATTACAATGCTACAAATTC